ACACACACACACACACACACACACACATATATATATATATTAATCATTTACAATTATATAATTTACAATTATAATTTACTATATTATTATTATTATTATTTATATCATAGGACTTGTTTTCAGATAACTTTTATTTTTATTTTATTTAACATTTTTTTATTTTATTTTAATTTGTATGATTTTTATTTATCTATTGTTTATATATATTTTGGTTTATTTCATTTTATTATTATTTTAATTTATTTATACCATAAGAGTTGTTTTCAGATAACTTTTTCACATTTTTCTAATGCATTTTAAACATTGTTAATTTTTATGTATTTATTTCTTTTATTTTATTCTTTTATTTATTATTATTTTTTTTTATTTGTTGTTTATTGTTTTTATTTATTTATTTTAATTTTAATTTAATTGGCATGATTTTGTATTAGCCTGAACTACCAAAAGACATCTTTGCACAAAATTAAATTCAAAATTCAAAATAACTTTCCGAGACTGGATGCCACTCGCCGAATTAGCCATGCAACATAATGAGGTCAAGTGAGAACAATGTACTACTGTACTAAAGTACTACTTGTACATAAAACCATGTCTGCATTTGTGATCTTTATAGAAACAGCCTTTGAGCACAGACGCTAGTTTGCAGGTTTAGGAAACAGTCCTCATCCTCCATAAAATGTGCTGCACACATCTGAATATTTGGGTTGAAGTGCTCTGGAACAGTGTTGTAAATACAACTTAACCACTGATTTCTAGTTGTGTCCTCTTTTGGAAGACCAAAGAAAGTAGTTTCGATTTCACAACGACTCCACAACATGGCGGCGGCGGCAACAGCGAGAATCAAAGTTACGCCTTCTTTCTTTGCATGAACATTTGGGCGGCGTTATGCAAATCTTCCCACATCGTGACATAGACATGTGGGGGTGTGTTAGAACGAGCCGTTTTAGGTAGGCGTGGTTGACTCTTAACTTTTATAAAGAATATGGAAGACCAAAGAAAGTAGTTTCGATTTCACAACGAAACACACAGCGACTCCACAACATGGCGGTGGCGGCAACAGCGAGAATCAAAGTTACGCCTTCTTTCTTTGCGTGAACATTTGGGCGGTGTTATGCAAATCTTCCCACATCGTGACATAGACATGTGGGGGTGTGTTAGAACGAGCCGTTTTAGGTAGGCGTGGTTGACTCTTAACTTTTATAAAGAATATCTCTTTGGATTTGAGACTTTAGTCTTTGCAACTTTACAGATCTTCTTTATGCACCAAGAGCCTGTAACACTCCAAAGAGAAAGGAAAAATTGAAATTGCATCATATGACCCCTTTAAAACACTGAGAACAAAACATAATAAACTCTGATGCAATTAATTAGTTCCTATATAAAGCAAACTAGTGTTTTCAGAACAGTGTTAGTGTTAGTCTCTCACCTGATGGAGGATGGATGGTGTTTTTTCAGGTGTCCTCCAGTATGTAAAGCCTACAGGTTCAGGCCTCGAAGTTTCCCTGTCTGAATAAAACAAAAAAGTCCACTTTGAGGTGCATTTCCGCGTTTTTCATTGAGAAATGGAACATAAAGCCAACTAAAGAGTTTCTTTTTGCGTATGATATAAATCCAGCGGCGTTTCCTGCCACTCCTGTGTCACAATAAGGCCGATCTTCCTGCTGTGTGTGTTTACACTGTCAACAGAGGTCTGCTTAGAGCGACTTAACCTGCATCACTACAGGTGTCATGAAGACAGAGAGCGAGCGGGAGAGATCTCCATCTGACAGCCAGTCTCCGCACCACCCGGCTGTGATGGATCGTTCTCCGTCAGCGTTACCATGGAGACGCGGTCACGGCATCTTCTGACAGCGAAGGTGGCAAGCTAACTATTTCTTGCCGTCGGTTTTTTAGGCAAGTAATCGCACTTCACACTGGCAGCTAACACCTGACAGGCAGCTATTTTCCCAGCATGCTCCCGGTTCGCGGGGCAGCGCGGCACACACTCTTGACAGCCGCTCAGGTGTTGTGTGTCAGCTTCTGCGTCGTACTGTATTTATGTATTCACACTGTCCTAATTACCAGTGGGAAACTCTGGGAAGCTTTGGCTTTCCGAGTTGAGGGCGTGTGATTTAAGAGTCGCGGGGGAAATAAATTGGTTTGGATCGAAATTAAAGCTGAAGTGTGTAATTTCTGTCTCATGAGCATCACCATATAAAACTGCAAAAATAATGACTGTTTTCAAACAATACTGAACAGTCTCCATCTGCTATTGGTCAGCCAGCAGATAGCCCCGCCCCCGACCAAATCCATTGGTTGAGGACCGTTGAATAATTTGTAGCAGTATATGAATGATAAAATAAATACAGCATCAATTACACATCAAGGGCTGTTCGATTAATTAAAATGAACAGAAATGGTGATACTGCTTACCATGATTGATGATAAAAAACTGAAAAAAATTTTTTTAATTAATAAATGTTATTATTACTATTATATAATCTGAAATACTCAATTTTTTATTAAATACTCAGTTTTTTTTATTTTACTGTAAAATATTACCATAGAAATATCTCATTTTCTTTATTATATGAATTTAATATTTTTTATTATTTCATTTTTGTCAATAACATTTCTATCAGAAAAAAAATATTATTTCACAATACAATTATTATAATTTTATTGATATTTTTACAGTTAAATGTTACAATAAGAATTTTTAATGATTTTCTAATTTATAATAATAACAATTTCACAGTTATTATTATTATTTTATATTGATATATTATCACATATTTGTTTGGTCAGCTTGTGCAGCCCTACAAACATATATTTTGTATCAGAAAAATTGCAAAGTTGAGCAATGGAAAGTTAGTCACCTAAGTTCTAAATAAAATCCCTGTTTTTTTTTTAGGAAATGTAAAGAGAGGCTAAAAAAGGGATTTTCCCAACACATTTCTTTAATTCCCTTTAAAACCATGCAATTTGCTCCAATTTGAATCAAAGCAGAATTCATCTCTTTTCCACCACTGTTTTGGGATTCAACAGACAGGTGATCTGGCAACACAGTGTGATCCAGAGCGACAGGCAGCAGGTGTCTGTCATTGACCCTTAGTCACTCATTCTGTGTTTACAACCGAAGAACAGCCTACACACACACACACACACACACAC